ACCTGATACTTGCCTAGGGCACTAAATTGACTAAGGCCAGCCCTGTTCATAACACATATTCCAAATGCTATTTATTGAGATCTTTGCCTTATCATAAACTGATGGAGTGGATCCTGTTTGTCTGTTAGGAAATAATACAACTGAACAGATTTTAACTAAGCTTTTTGAAGGTAAGTAAAAGATCCAGATGTGTTATAAAACACCAAGGTAATATCATAAGCATTACTGTCTTACACCAGAGACAGTAACGTTATTGCAGAGGCTACAGCTGGTTTCGTAGCACCATGCCTGATTTACTACCTGCACTAAAATTCAGTTTAGAGAAAAAACTGTAGTACAGGAAAATGTTGCAGAAACAAATGGACAAGTATTCATGTTTTCATCTTTTGCTCCTCTTTTATCAGTTCAGTGAAACAAAAAGAAACAAAGAAAGTACAACAAAGCTGCTGTGACCTTTTCGAACATTTATGACAGCATTATGGACTCTTCTTGTCACTTGTCTTCTTATACATCTTTTTTTGTGGCTCTACTCCATCTGCGTCGTGAGAACAAGACAAAAGCAAAATTCAAATGCCTTCATTAAAATCATCAGAGAGCGCGGAAGGTGGTGAACGTGGGGGATTTTTTTCTGTACTGTGAACCGAGTTCACTCCCCCATCTAAAGATGCTGTAAGCGTGCATGATGCGTGTGGATGGACGGGTAAATGTAAAGCCCAAGCTCTTCAAAAGACTCGGCCGCATGTCACTCGTGCTGGCAAGTACCGGGGTCCTCATCAAAGGCCTGTCCTGGCTCTGCCTGCCTGGAAGCCCCTCTCTGACAAGGAGCCTGGGTCATCAAAGGGGAAGCGGCTCAGAGYGGGTGACGGTGGGTGACAGCAGCCGAGATGAGGGCAGGGGACACTYGCTTTGGAAGAGAAGGGGACTGGTGACAGGCAGACAGCATCAGGGCAGAGCAGGGGTTGGGTTCAGTTTGCTGAACTTTTAAGTGAAAGCTTTGCAGGCTGCTTCTCTGACAAGTCCTTCCTTTGCTCTGTCAAACGAGGAGCATTCATACAGTGTGATCTTATAACATCTGTTCACCAAGATATTATGAGATATGTAACAATGTTTATTACTATGTTATTTTTAGGAAAAAATATATTTATGTGAAAAGGGACACTGGTGAATTAATAGTGGTTAATTAAAAACATTGTGTGTGACAATGTCACAATGACATTTGACATTTGTTGGAATTGTACAAGAGCTTAACAATTATCACATGATCATAAAAACAGATAACATGTTGTAAACAGTTATCAGTATTATAAACTCAATCCATTTTTTAACTGCATGGAATTCTAAACACTAGATTCATTGAGGAAACAGTGTTAGCAGTGTAGTGCAGTCCATAAATTTAATACTGTGACTTTGAAAGTCAATAAAGAAATTTTTCATTTTCATATAAAAATAAAAATTTATATTTGCAGAACATCTAAGAAAACATCCACAGTAAATTTTGTCGTTATGTGAATATATACGTGTATATATATATATATATAT